CCCGCCCCGGGGCAGGTCCCCCTCGGGCCCGGTCCCGCCGAGAGATCTAGGGGCTGCGTTTTCCCCTCACGTCACGGCTCTGGGGCGGGCCCGCGCCCTGCCCTGCCCTGCCCTGCGGTAAAGCCGCCGCCCCGGGCGGGGGAGGAGCGTCCGTCTCTGAGCTTCCCTCAGGGGCGCCGCTCCCGGTAGGGACGGGTCCCCGTGGGGCGGCAACGGGGAAGCGCCGAGAGCAGCTGCGGGGTGCTGAGCCCGGGCAGGTTCGCCCCGCGGTCTCTAGTGGGAAGCGGTACCCCTGGGTTTGCTTTAAACCGGCGAGGTACAAAACAGCGGTTGCGGTACGTGCTGAGTGAGACAGGTATTGGTGAGGCGACGGAGCGCCGGCTCGCCAAAAAAAAAGCCCTTTCACTTTGGTTAGTGAAAAGAAAGCATAAAGTGTTTTGGCCTACTGCAAGCAAGATTTACCAAACAAGCCAGTTTGCTCCCTGGAAGCTGCTTCCCGCCCAGGAAGGGTTTCCAGCAGGACAGTGGGTATGCGTGAGGCTTCGCCAGCCCCGCAGCGCGCAGTCCCTGCTCACACCTACCGAACAGACTTGGGAAGTCACTGTGGCTACATGGAAATTGGAGCCTCTCTGGCTTTACTAACCTCCTTTGCACTGAGGTGACAGTAAGAAGGGCAAAATAAGAACAGAAACTTTCTTTAAGTGCAGTATGGCCAAGGTTAACAAGTAGGCCCTGATTTTTCAGATCTTTCATTCTTGTTTGTGTAGCTTTGCTAGCTGTAATCTCTTTGGCAAACAAGAAAAATAGTATTGTCAAAGTTTACATTTTATTATCATCTTTCAGTTGCTTAAGCAGAGCAGCAGCCAGCTACTGTAATAAACATACCCTTCACGGCTGCTTGTTGATTAACACACATTGAAGGCCCCGATTCACTGTTCAAATGCATCTTAACTTTAGCCAGGGTGTCGTGTACTCAAATAAAAATTTAGGCAGTTGCTGGGATGCTTAAGGTCTGGGGAACTAAATGAAAAATAATATTTGATGAAAGCAGCGTTAGCATGTTTGAGATGATGGCTTGATGTGCTGGAGAAGCAACCAGAACAGACTGCTTGCTGCTTAACTGGAAGTTGAGCATCTTTCTTCAAGCATCACTCCTTGTTATCATCAGTCTCCTGGAAAGGCGGATGGGTTTGCTATCTTGTTGTGCTTGTGAAATATACTTGAAAAGACCTCCTATGTAGTTTTCATAATGGGGAAAGAAAACTCTATTCATTTTATGTTCCTGCCAGGTAGTTGTAGTGGTAGCTTGTTGTTCAGGAGGTAAATTATTCCTTGTGTGTTGAAACTTAAACTCCCACCATTTTTTGAAGTTCAGTCACACAGTACTCCTTTTTGCAGCTGAGTAAATACATCTGTCCCAAGAAGGCTGACAGCTGAAATAGCTTTTGCTTTGAAACACACATTCACATCAGACTCCAGATGAGAGTTACCCTTATTTCCTGTACTTTCACTCTTTTGAAATATGATGGAGGTTTGTGAAACACTGGACATTTACACCAGCTTGCCTTGTTGTGTGGGATGATGGATAAGAATATCTCAAGACAATGTATCGTATTTTGTTGAAGAGGTGGCAAAGCTCAGAATAGTTTGAGTACTCAGCTCTGGGCTGAGACGTATCCCTGTGTAGGGGAGCATTTGCCTAACGCCGAGCGCCATTTTGGTTCCATTTCATTCAGTGGCAAGAAAGTATGCATGTGTTTAAACTTCAGAAAAGGTGTAATGCTGGAATTTGTATTTCTAGTTGCAGAATACATGTTGCTCTTCACTTTATTTTTCTTATTCCTATTATATTATCATTTGGTTAATATATTGTGAAGTGACTTGTTTTACAAATGCTTATATAACACTTCAAGATTTAGGTGCAGTCTTTGAATTTTGCAGTGCTCATGGTCTTGCTAACAGCTTAGGATCCTGCCTCTTTTGTATGGTTTTTATATCAAACGTCTTGTCCGGGTTTCTCATCTCTTGAACCAGCAGAAGCACCTGGACAGGCGCGGCATGGAGCTGGCCCTCACGATGCTGTTTGTGGCCGGTGTGGAGCCCTCGTGCTTGATGGCTTGTGCCAGGCAGAGACCTTCCTCACCCTCCAGGACAGGCGCTGCCTTGTACCCCGGCCTGCGTCGTCCCCCCCGAGTGGGCTCCTCCGAGCGAGCAGGAGCAGGGCGTTACGAAACTCCCGTCAGCAGCCGGTCCTAGTAGGCTGGATCTGGTCCAAGGTACCCGGTATGAAGTTCAGAGGCGTGCCGCTGCCTTCTTTCTCCACAGGTACTGTTACTCCGGAGCTACCCCGGGGAGCTGGGAAAGCGCGGGCGCCCGCCGTCCCGGGGGCTCGCCCGTACCCGGCGCCCTGATGGAAACCATCTGCTCGGCGCCGGGCGCAGGAAGCGCGCCGCTGCGCTCCTCCTTCCTTCCTTTCTTCCCCGCAAGCGGCTCCGCGTGGAGAGGAGCCCAGCACTCGTAGT